AGCTCCAACTGTCAGAACAATCTCCCTCATCCTGATACATGTCTTCGAGAGGGGGATCATCTAAACAATTAGACTTGGGATGCATGAGTGGGTTATCGAAGCAATAGTTATATAGAATTTTGTTTGGTTGTATATTTATATAGAATTATAAATGAAGAATAGGATATAATAGCATCTTATAATTTATAGAACTGACTTTTTTTTAATAGAACAAGGCTGCTTGTTGTTTTAATTCTCATGGTGGTGTTGAATTAACGAAGAAGTTGTCAAATCCATTACGCTCGAAACTGTCAAATTTGTGGGCCGCCAATGAAAACTTCAGATTTTAGAATGCGACTTTTTTTTTTCACGCTTTTTTTTGGGTCACTTTATTGTTCCGTGGAAAGAGGCTTTTTGAGTTTACCATGAGTCTGACTAATTTGTTCATGGAACTTAAAACACAATGCTGGAAATCATTTTACTGGAGTTGTTTCTTGGAATCTTCTCTTTGCTTATACCCGTTGGATCATTTGAAAGGATAGATGTAAGGTTCTTTTCCAAACAAGGGAAGGAGATTCTCTGAACGACTCATGTTCTTTCCTATTCAAAGTGGCTGCAGATACCAAAATGGTTGAAAACTATGATAATTGCCTTGGCCTAAGGTAGGAAGATTGTCTTCATCAACCAAGAGTCGAGAGCGTTAGACTTGAGACGGATGGATCAGTCCTTGCAGATGGACGTTGTGCGTGCGGTGGACTACTAAGAGACTCAACTAGTAATTCAGTTTTAGAATTTACTTAAAAGTTGGACCATGTTCCGACTAGAATTGTTGAAAATTTTGAAATTTTATATGGACTGAAGTTATGCTAGAAGAAGGGATTTAGAGTTGTGGAGATCTTTTGTGATAGTACATATGTTATATCAACTATCACACGGGACAACTATAATTATTACTTCTATTATAATATTTTTTTAGGCTGATAGAAGAATGTTACTTAAGAAATGGTCTATTAATTTTCATTTTATTTACAGAGACGGTAACAAGAAAGCCAATTATTTGGCTAAGTTGGTTTATAGTATTCCTTGTGACTCCATTTTGTATTGGGAACTGCCTCATTAGGTGTATCCTTGGCCTATTGAGGGATCCGTTTGAGTCTTGTTCTCTCTTGTTTAGGCTTCTCTTTGTTTGTAACCGGTTACATTCCAGTGAATGAAGTTTCCTAATTTTATTTAAAAAAAAATTGTTCATAAACACAATTAAATAATTTATAGCAGTCTTTCTTTAAATTGAGATACCCTAGGGTCCCTTCCTATAGCGTACAGGAGTTGACAATGGATTACAATTGCATTATTTTATAATAATAAATTCATAATGTATTTATATCTAAAATTTATTTAATACATGTTTGGCCCAAAAAAATTTATCTACTACAATTAGTATTGAATATGTATTTCATTCATACAAAACAAATAAAAATTTCAAAAGTGGATTTTTAACAACTTTTATAATATAGGTCATAATTTGTTTTAAGAAAAAATGTTTCAGTTAAATTTTAGCTTTAAAAAGTTCACATGAATATTTGCAACAAAATGTATTCTGTGTTTTCAAATATAAGAGAAGCTATTCTATGTTTATTACAAGTAAAATTACAAGTTTTGAGAAGCATTAATAACATTTTCTTTTCAAATTATCCCTCATGCATAAATAGTATCGTTAAATTAGAGGAAAAAATCAACATTAATGACAAGGGCATTTTAGTTTAAATATTTTAATTTCAAACATAACTACTAGGATTAACTAATTCTCTTAAACTATGTGAGTTAATTAAAATTCTCTCACTTCTTTTAGCCCTTATTACAAGAAACTTCTATTCACAAAAATGCTTTTAAAAGAGCTATTTCAATTAAACTTGACAATACTTAAATTTAAAATAGTCAGATAGTCATGCAAAAAATAAGAAAAAGGCCAAAATAGAGTTAAAAAAAAACTCCATAATGTCAACCACGACAACAATGATGACAAAAACAATAATAATAGAATGGAATTGGGTAGTTAAAAGTTAAAACTTGACACAATGATTGGCTCACAATGAAAAATAGAGAGGAAGGGAGGACAAAAAATGGAAAGAAAAGAAAAGCAAAGAGATGTAATTTTCTCTCTATATACATGGCCAAGTGAGAGAAAACGATAACAAAAAAATGTTAATTTCATATAAAAAAACAACGACCTTATTATTTATATAAAGGTTAATATATAATTTGGATCTTGAATTATAAGTCTTAGGGTTAAGTGTAAGGTCTCCCTTACTTAACCATATTAAACTCCAAAATCAAAGTAATTAAGGGATTAAATCTCAAAGGATTACTAAAGTTGTAAAGTTTTAGAAAAGATAAAGTTTCTCAAATCATTTACAATGAAATCCCAAAATCAACATTTTAAATCTTAATCAATACTAATTATACTTAAATCAGAGTTTGAAAACTATTGTGAAAGTTTGAAAATCAAATAAGACCCAAAATAATGAGTTTTATAACTCAAAACTGGATTTCGTGTAGAAAACGACATATATGCTGCGACTTGTGACATGTGCACCGTGGCTCATCCTTCTTTGTGCCATGCGCCATGGTGCATTGCACCAAAATGATAGATATCAGTTGTCAAAATGATAACACAACGAGTGAACTTCAAACGCGTTCTAAATTTTCGTTCGATGTCCAATTGAGACGGTTTCATTTTCTACACGGAGCTTTCTCCTAGTTTTAACTAATGGCACCGATTTCACACTCAAATTCTTTTTCTATAGAAAGTTAGATACCAAAACTCATTTCCACCACTTTTCACACAAAAGCACACAACCTTAGTATCTCAACTCAACCAGAAGTGCTAAAAACTTATACCAACTCTCCAACCACACTCAATGGACTCTAGTAGACTTGTACAACACACCACACACAATCAAAAGCACATATATCTTAAAATTATCATTCAACCCCAATTTTTACAAAATACAAAGGGGAGATAAATGTTGCACAAAATTATCATTTTCATTCCAAATCTTTTAAAATACACATATTCTTACTGCACAAGTATTTTAATCCTACCCACGGGTTTATAATCAAAACTCATTAACCCAAAACATAAAATACAGAAATTGTATACTATAGTAATGTAAGTAGTATAAAAACAATAACATATGATCCTAACTGAAAATTACACAACATTAATACACAAGTAAAGTAAAGAGGCATGAAAGTAGGATTTCACCACAATCCTATGCCTCAGAGTGCTTTTTCCTTACTCGGATCCAATGAGCTAGGCTATGAAATATTGAGAATTGAAAAATCTTCAAGTGCTGTCATCATTTATTGTAGACAAATCTAGAGAGACCATCATCAAATAATTAGAAGGACTTAATCTTTTTCGATCAATTTCTATATTGGAATTGCAGAATATAGTTTCTCCCTCAGATGCTTTAGTAGTTAATTTGAGAAGAAAGATACACCTCAAGGAGTTAACATTAGAATGGTGTATAGACAATGAAAAATCACAACATGACAAGGATGTGCTGGAGTACTTCTAACCTTATCAAAATTTTGAAAAGCTATCAATTGGCAACTATGGTGGTATTGAGATTCCAACTTGGCTTGCAGATCATTCATTGTCCAATATAGTGTCCCTAGAGCTAAGGAATTGCAAATATTATATGTCCTTGCCATCACTTGGCCACTTTCCATCTCTCAAGTCATTGTCAATTGTAGGGTTTCATAGTATCATTACTATAAGTCAAGAATTTTTTGGAAATAGCTCTAATACTACATCCCTAGAAATCTTAAGGTTCCAAGACATGAAGGGTTGGGAGGAATGGAAATGTAAAAATGTAATAGTTGCTTTGCCCCTTCTTCAAGAGTTGAGTGTAGAAATTGTCCCAAATTGAAAGGGGAACTTCCACAACAACTTCCTTCTCTGAGCATGCTAGTAATTTACAATTGTGAGAAGCTTTTGTCTTCAATTCCTTCATCTCTTCATAACTTGGTTCTAAGAAATTGCGGAAATGAGCAATTGGATAGTCTTCCATCAACTCTAAAAGTCCTTGACATTTCTGGACGCTTCAAAAGATTATTATCAGTTGACAAAATTGAGAATGTCTTTGCCAATTATAGCCTTGAACATTTGAAGTTTTCTGATTGACCCTGCCTAGAATTCCCATTATGCTATTATCATAACTTCATTCTTGAAATGGAGATAAAAGGAAGTTGTGGCTCTCTTAAGTCTTTCCCACTAGATTTATTCCCGATGCTTCAATCATTGAAGTTGATTGACTGTAATAATCTTGAAATGATATCTATTTCAGAGGGAAACCATTATTCACTTACAAGTTTGTGCATACGAAAGTGTTCTAAATTTGTCTTCTTTCCTGAAGGAGGGTTTTTGGCCCCCAAACTAGTAATCTATTCCATTGAAGAATTGAAGAATTTGAAATCACTGCCAGAGAAAATGCACATCCTCTTTCCTTCCCTCACATTTCTATTTGTCAAATGCTGCCCACAAGTGGAATCATTTCCAAATGGAGGTTTGCCATCAAATCTTGTGTATCTTGATGTCTTTGAGTGCGCAAAACTCATAGCCTCTCGAATGGGATGGCATTTGAGTAGTCTTACTTCACTACAACACTTAGGGATTGGAGATGCAAATGATGAGTCTCTTCCTAATATTGGACTACTTCCACCTACTCTTACGTCCCTTGTACTCCTTCTGGTCCCATTTATAAGTAACATTTTAGAAGGTTTATTTGATCCCATTTATAAGTCATGGTGCATCTTTTTAAGTAATATTTGAAAAGTATTTCCAAAATTACCCTTCATGAGTGAGAAAAGGTAACAGGACATTATTTTTTAGATTTGTTATATAAGGGCATATTTGAAATTTTACTTACTTTTATTCGTTATACTTTTATTGTATTAGTATTGATGAGGTTGGTGGAAATGACTTATAAATAGGATCGGAGAGAGTATTCCTTAACTGCCCAAATCTTAGATCACTGGAACACAAAGGTCTTTGCCACTTATCCTCTTTGGAATACTTGGGAATTCATGTCTGTCCTAAACTCCAGTACCTTCCAAAGGAGGGTTTGCCTAGTTCCCTTTGTAAACTACGAATTGCGGGCTGTCCATTGTTCAAAAAGCAGATCCAAAACCAAAAAGGCAAATATTGGGCAAAGATTTCTCACGTCCCTTTTGTTATCTTTGACGATGATGAAGTAGTATCTATAAGTGAGCTTCTCTATGATGATGGCATCGATTTTCCTACCATCTAATTCACTCATCAGGTATATATTCACTCCTTTCTTTCTTTTTTTTTTAATTTCAAATCATATTTTCTTTCTTTTGACTTGTTATTTTAGATTGAATGATTACTTGATTATTTGAGTTTCAAATAATAAAATCTTAAAGCTTTATTCGTTTTTTTTGTGAAAGTGCTGCACAATGTAGTTTTGACCAACAAACCTACAAGGATACAAACAGGGTGGATTGTGGATTCCGCCTGTTAGGTGAGATGGGCCCTATTTTGTGGGGCTTGTGCACCAGATGAAGTGGTATTCTTTGTGCGTTAGGTCCATATTACTTATTTGAAACACAAGCAGCGAAGTGGAAAAATATGAATCAGGCGTAATGTACTCTGAAGAAAATGAAAGCTCTTCTTAAAGTGTGAAAGCTGAGCTGCGGCATGATGAAGGCGCGAATAGTAGAAGCCAATATCAAACATCATTAATGCTCTGAAAATATGGACATTAGCAAAATGCCAAGAAAATTTAAAGCTACCAAGAGCTCAAAATTTTATGAATTCTTAGTTGTCTGTTTTTTTTTTTTGGCCAAAAAATTCTTAGTTGCCTGTTGAAGGAAGGTCTTTATTGTCTGTTGAAGTTTTCGTTTATGTTTTTGGTGGGTGGCTTCTTAATGTGTTACTGCATTATTAAAAGGAAGCTTTTGATGGTTGTACCAACCACAAATCATATTGCTTCACAAAACTACATATAACGGTGATGAAACCTTCCTTTTTCCTTCTCCTCCATTATACCCTATCCAAACATACCCTGTGAGAGATTCACCAAATCTTATTTGTCTAGCACTATATTAAGTACATACTCTTATTTTGCTTCTCGTTTTATAGATAATTGAAATATTTCTTTTCTACAGCCAGCAGTGTTGGGGAAAGAACGCTGGTGCCGCTCAATAGGCTTTCGGATAGAAAGAAGGAATAAGAGGGAACCACTCAACGTGGAGGTGATTTCTATCTTCTGATCTTAACATCCATGTTTGCATATGCCTTCATAAATTAATTCATGACAGCTTCGGTCCAAATTACAATAAAAATAAAAATGCGAGTTGTGAAAACCATGATTAAAATTTTGTTGAACCAAGCTTGGCAACTAGACCAAATTGTCTTCTAGTACCCTATTTCAGTTAAATGGTTCAATATTTATTGATGGTCTTGGTGATGCCAACTAATTAGTTTATTTTATGAGAATGGTGTTTTTCCTAGGCTTGCTTGCCCTCTGTTATAGTGTATTAAAAGAAAGTATAGATATAGGAGCTAACTGCAAGAGGACAATGTCGTTTTTCAGTTGTCTTCTCTTCTAAGAAGATTTTTTTTCCCCAATTAGGTACATATTGCTTCATCAGAACAGCCAGAGAAGAGGCAAAAGAGAGTCAGGCCTGATGTACTCTGAAGGAAACGAAAGTTCTGCTTCAAGTAAGAAAGATGCAAATGGTGGAAGACAGTATCAAACACCATTATTGCTCTGAAATTATGGAGCTTTCCAACTGCTCCAAATTCATTCACAAATATAACTCCCATGATAGCATTGATTACCAAGACGACTCTGTGTTTTCAAAGCTGCTGAAATATATCTTCGTTCACATTCTCTGCTTTTCTATTAGTGTTGTATTATAGACTCCCTTGAAATTTGAATTTTTGAAGAGATGATGTGAGCATTAGTTCCTAGGGTTGCCTTTGCATAACGTTGTAAAGGCCTTAGTTCATGATTTAAAGTTTTGATAAGGTTTCTCAGGGTTAGGGAAAATAGAGACTTGATTGCGGTTATTTACTAGGAATAAAAACGCTCCTATTTTGCATTTGAGTAGAGATTGTAATACTTGAAATTTGAATATGCCCTTATGCCTCATGGTGTAATGTTCACACACACAGATATTTCAAAAATGTTAATCAATGATTTCAGCTTTGCTATAGGAACTTTATTTCAAATAAGATTCATAGCATTCAATTTAGCAAATGGACTTGTTATTTTATTAGAATTTTTTAAGGAAGAATCACGTGAAAGTCTCTGATAAGATTAATAAAAATTACAATGTTCATTAACAATACTTTTGTTCTGCTTTATTGTCAATAGATTTTGTATTATTTAATTAATTAATTGTCTTGTGAAGAAACTTAAGGACATGAGAGACATTTTTGAAATAACAATATTGTGTTACTCGTTAATATGCAAGTATTGTGAGACAAGCATCAACTTGTGTGTGAATGTTTTTTTTTTCCATCAAATTATAAGAATTATATTTTTTTATAAAAATATAATAACTATAAATTTTATAAGTGAAAATATATTTTTGTGTAATTATATATTTGTCATATTTTTATGAAATATAATGTATTTATCTTAATTAAAATATAATAAACACAAAAATTAAATAAACTTTACAATAGCAAAGCATAAACCACAATCAAATAAAATTTAGGAAAAACATTATTTTTTGTCTTTGCACTTTGCTTGAATTTTAATATATATTTTTATATTTTTTTCAGTATTTTAAATTTTTATATTTTTTCTATCTACAATATTGATCTCTATACTTTTAGAGGAATGTTGACATGACACTAACGATATTAATAATACTGACATGTGAATTAACACATTTAATTTTGTGTTATGTGTTAAGTTGATGTTGACATGAATTTTTTAATAATAAAAATTTAAAAAAAAGTCTATATCATATTGACATGGATTTTTTAATAAACAAAAATTTAAAGATTATAGGATAGCTTTTTTATGTCATCTAATGTAGGCTCTTTTTTAAATTTTTTTATCATTAAAAAATCTATTACAATATTAGTTTGACACATAATTACAAAATTAATTATGCTAATTGATATATCAATATTATTAATATCATTTATATCACGTTAACATTTTTATGAAATATACCAAAGATCTGCAAGGAAAAAGAAAAAGGGAACAACAAAAGCAAAGGAATTATGAAACTTGTGAGATGCCTTCCATGTGAAATTGTGAACGCTTTATAACGCGGAGGAGATATCGTCAGCAAATTCCTTTCTTGGATGTTTCTTATTGTTGATTTATTAGAGGGAAAATCACAATGAAGGACCTTTGAAACCCTTTACTTACCAAAAAAGACCACTTCATTGGACTATCCATTGGAGCTCTGGCGTAGGTTACCGAATCGGTGAGACAAATTAATTTTTTTTAAAACCCAAAGGATAGTTAGTCACTTGATTAATAATTTCTTTTAAATATATAATATAAATTTTTATATATATTTTATTTTGTTTTCATTTTTCATACTAATATTTGTGAAAAACTTAATGATTACTTATTATTTTACAAGTAATTACTTGTTGAATTACAAGTGAGACTTATTAAAAATTTTAATATGTATTAGTTTTTATAAATGTTTATTGTTTTTATTATAAAAAATGACAAGTCTCCATTAATAATTTAACAAGTAATCATTTGTGAAATAATAGGTCTTGTTATTAGTTTTAAAAATTTTTCTTGATAATTTAACAAACAAGTCCCCATTAATAGTTTAATAAGTATTTATTGTGAAATGACAAGTCCCATTACTGGTTTCAAAAATTTTTCCTAATAATTTGACTAGTAAATTTTAATAAAATAAAAGTTCATATAAGCTTTTGATAATAAAAACAAATAAACATTTATAAAAATCACTCCATATTAAATTTATTTAATAATAACAATTTATGACGTTGTCATATTTTACTTTATTTTCACTTTCTATACTAATATTTGTCAAGAATTTAATGATTATTTGTCATTTCGTAAATAACTATTTATTAAACTACTAATGAGACTCGCCAAAAAATTTAATATACATTGATTTTTATAAATATTTACTTATTTTTATTAATAAAATTTTACATGTCAAAAGTTTATGTGCACTTATTATTTTGTCAAAATTTATTTATAAAATTATCAAAAAAAATTTTCAAAACTAATAATGGGATTTGTCATTTCATAAATGGTCATTTGTTAAATTATCAATAGGAATTTATTAAAAAAATTTAATATGGAGTATTTTTTATAAATGTTTACGTGTTTTTATTACTAAAATCTTACGTGTTAAAAGTTCATATAAATTTATTATTTTACTAAAATTTTCTTACCAAATTATTAGGAAAAATTTTCAAAACTAGCAATGGTACTTGTCATTTTACAAAGAGTTACTTGTTAAGTTATTAATAAGAACTTATTTGTTAAATTATTATGAGAATTTTTTAAAATTAGTAATGAAACTTGTTATTTCACAAATGGTTACTTGTTAAATTATTAATGGGAACTTGTTATTCATGGTAATAAAAACAAGTAAACATTTATAAAAACCGATGCGTATTAAATTTTTTAATAAATCCCATTTGTAATATAAAATGATAAGTAACTATTCATTTTTTGACAAATATTTGTATAAAAAGTAAAAAAAATAAAATATATATAAAAATTTGTATTATATAATTAAAAAGAATTATTAATCTAGTGACTAATTATTTTTTTGGTGGCCAAGATGATGTGGCTTCAAACTCTTCTTAGCCACCTTAAAAAAATTTAATTTATCTCCCCTGTTGGTTTGATGATTGATGTTGGAGCTCTAATAATTGGTCTGCCGTGGTGGTCTGTGTCACATCCCAATTTAAATTTTAATAGTTAATTTGGGTTAATAGAAATTTTAAAAAAGAGAAAAAATATTATTTTTTTAAAAAATATTATTAAATTATTATTATTATTATAAAAAAAAGAGAAAAGATATGAAAAAAAAACAAACAAAACGAGAAGAACAAGAAAACTTTCGGCCGTACGCGTGTAATCATTATATTTATATAATAATAATAATAATAATAATAATAATAAAGAAAGAAGAGAGAGGAAAGAGGAAAATAATAAAAAAAAAATTTGTGGGACCCACATTCATTTTTTAAAAACCACCATTCTCTTCTCATTTTTCCTTCATTTCTCTTCTCTTTCGTGTGCGATCAGAGAGAGCGTCTGTGAGTCAGGTTGTCGGTGCGAAAGATCTGAATTTTTAAGGTAAGAGTTTTTGATAGGATTATGATTCTAAGCTAGAGACTTAATTTTTAATTTTTGGGTATTTTAGGTGCGAATTTATAAAATAAAAAGAAAATTTTAATAATAAAAATTAGTTTAAAATTTAATTTTTAGATTATTAATGTTTATTGATGAGTAAAAGAGGAGTTAAAAATTTTACTTAATAGTATTAACTCTAGATTTGTATTAAGATTGAGATTAGGAATTATGTTATATTTTTAATTCTATTATTAGAATTATTTTATTAGTTTCAAAAATTGAAACTAATATTTATAAATAATATGTTATTTGTAGATTGTATTATTGGTGAAGATTGTAGTGGGAGAGAAATTGTAAGGAATAATTTATTAAAAAAGTCACAAGGTAACCATGCTTTTAATTTGTGATTAGTGTTATTTCATGTTAATTGGGTGATTATTGAGAAAATTATGAATTTTGTAATATTGTATAATTGTGCAATATTATTATGAATTTGTTTGATTATTGTGGGAGGTGTTTGGGAGACTTGCTATTGTTGTTGTATTTATGTGCCACGTGGTACACCCCTATTGGAGCTCAATAGGTGGCTTGTAAGGGCTCAGGCTAATTTACCTTTGGCCGAGTAATTTAGCACCGAGTGAGGGCTACGTCTCGAGGTTAATGGAGGGATATAAGGATGGTTGTTTGTATGTATTGTAATATTTCTTATAATTGTTGGAATTATATTATTTTTAATTTTCACTTAATAAGCACATACTTAACTGTTTGTATACACTATCATAAATTGGCTTTGGTTATTGGGACTTTTGAGTCTCATTATGTGGTTAACAATTTTCAGGAGAAGGGCCACGAGTGACACGTGGAGGAGTCCCAGAGGCTTAGTGGTATAGATCCACTATCTCTTTTGGGTATTTGATTTATGATTTAAAATGTGTTATATTGCCAATATTAGGGCTTTTTATTTATTGTCAATTATATGAATATATAAATGTAATCATGCCTTTCAAACTATTTCTATTTTTGGTATAATTTGGATGACTGTAATTTTAATATTTGGTTTACTTTGGATTGGTTAAAATGGCATGATTATAAAGACAAATAACTGGCTTGTGTTGAAAATTAACTAAATTGCTTATTTTACTTGTTTGGAGTATAAGGATGGACAAATGTGATTTAATTTACTTGTTGGGAGTATAAGGATGGACAAATATGATTTAGCCTAATGGCATGTGGGAGGTAAAAATTATCTGAAATGTTATATTGTGTGAGTTGAAGCCAATTATAAAATATTTTATATTAAAATTATTGATATAAAAATGTGTTAGGTGGCTGTAACCCAACTATGGTTAAGTTAAATTATTTTAAAAAAAAATTTTGGTGTGTTACAAATTTTGGTATCAGAGCTACATGTTTCCAATTCTTATAAATTATGAAATTGTTATACATTAACCTAGTTTATTGGCAATATACATTATTAAATCATAATACTTCTCCATTATTTTTCTTGTCTTGAGATTAGTGTTAACTTAATTATGTGACTTCCATCTTTTAGGAGGGGAGAGATGGTGTCTAAAACTAGAAGAGGTGGCGAAATTGCCGGTGATTTTATAGAGCCAATAGGAAATGACATATCTTTACTGTCACAGCTGGAGCCCACACAACAACAAATGGGGCAGGGCGATCCCATACAGCCACAATTAAGGTAAGGTGAGTCAACCATGAGGCAAATGATAGATCTATTGTATAATCTTAGTGACCGCATGAAGAGGCAAGAAGAAGAGTTGGCCGCTTTAAGACAATATAAGGAGAATGCCAACCGAGAAGGAAATGGCCAACAAGAAGGAAGCCATACCAAGGTATTCAATGCGAGCCAATCTTATAAATTTTGGTGTGTTACAATCTGGCCATTGATGCTGGAGCTTTGGTGGCCGGTAATAATAAAGAGTTTTTTTTTAAAAAAAAGGGGGGTTAATTTTATCTTTTCATGTTAAAATTTAATTATGATTTGGTCTTTTGATCTGTATAGTAGATTCAAAATTAGTTGATCCTTTCCGATATATAAATTGTTCTAGAGGTCCTTTGCTGTGATTGTCCCTTTCTTAAAAGTTTCTTTATATGCTTAATAAATTTAATGACGGCAAATCAATAACTTGGATGATTCTTTTTAAAGCTCCAGCTGGCTGCTACAATATTATAATTCGGCACCAATCCTGATACGTCACCACATTATTTCAATTGCTTTCTTCCTTTTACAGATCATTTCTTTCGGTTGACCTCCATCTTTGCAGACTCACAACAGCTTCATCCATGGCAGGAGCTTTGGTTGGTGGTGCTTTTCTCTCTGCCTTTCTTCAAGTGGCTTTTGACAGGCTGGCTTCGAGTAATGTTCTGGACTTCTTCAAGAATCGAAAGTTGAACGAGACGCTGCTCAGTAAGTTGAAGTCGGTGCTATTATCTATTGACGCTGTAGTTGACGATGCAGAACAAAAGAAGATTGCTAATCCAAAGGTCAAGGATTGGATTGATGTGGTCAAGGATGTCATGTTCGATGCTAAGGATGTCTTGGATGAGATTGATTATGAAGTGACCAAGTGCAAGGTGGAAGCCGAGCTTCAGACTCAAACCAGTGTTGCCCGCAAGGTACGAAACTTCTTCAATCCTTCTGTTAGTTCACTTAAGAAGGCAATTGAATCAAGGATGAAAAACGTGCTTGAAAAACTTGAATATCTTGCATCTCAAAAGGGTATATTAAGTTTGAATGAACGTGGTAGTGGTGCTGGGTTGAGAAGTTCAGTAGCAGAAAGATTGCCTACAACATCATTGGTTGATGAAACTAGCACGTATGGTAGAAAAGATGAGAAAGAAAAAATTATTGAATGGTTGCTAACGGACAATGATAATAGTCAACTATCTGTCATTTCTATAGTTGGTATGGGTGGGTTAGGGAAAACTACTCTTGCACAGCTTGTTTATAATGATAGGAGGGTGATGGATAAATTCGACCTCAAGGTTTGGCTCTGTGTTTCTGAAGAGTTTGATTTATTGAGGTTAACAAGAACAACTTTGGAGGCAATTGCTGCGTCTAAGGATGATAGTAACAATCTAAATATGCTTCAAATCAAACTGAAGCAATCATTGACTCAGAAGAGATTTCTTGTCATTTTAGACGATGTGTGGAATGAAGATTATCAGTTATGGGAGGCCCTGCAATTACCTTTCAGTCATGGGGCTCCAGGAAGTAAAATTCTTTTGACCACCCGTAGTAAAAAAGTTGCTTCAACCATGTGCTCAACTGAAATGCTTCCCTTAGAGCTCCTCTCACAAGAAGATAGTTGGTTGTTGTTCAGCAAATATGCATTCCGCAATGCAGATGTTCTTCGTTCAAACTTTGATCTTGAAGATATTGGTAGAAAAATCAACAAAAAGTGCGGACGGTTGCCCTTAGCTGTGAAAACCATTGGGAGTCTCTTGCACACAAAAATATCTCATGAGCAATGGAATGGAATTTTAGAAAGTGAGTTATGGGAGAAGAGTAATAGCAAAATTCTCCCAGCTTTGAGATTGAGCTATAGTTACCTCCCCTCTCATCTCAAAAGATGCTTTGCATATTGCTCATTATTTCCTAAAGATTATGACTTTGGCAAGGAACAGCTAATTCAGTTGTGGATGGCTGAAGACTTCGTACCATGTGCTCATCGAAGCAAAGATGCTAAGGAAATTGGAGAACAATTCTTCCATGATCTATTGTCGAGATCTCTTTTCCAACGATCCACTGTAGATGAAATGCATTTCATCATGCACGACCTTATAAATGATTTGGCAAAAGATGAATACGGAAAATTTTGCCATAGGTTAGAGGTGGACGAAGCAAATAACTTGACAGAAATGACACGCCATGTTTCATATTTAAAAGATGTGTATGAAACTCCCAGAAGGTTTAAGGTTATATGCCAGGCTAATAGATTGCGCACATTCTTGCCTCTATCCATGCAACATTGGAATTTTGAATGCTAGATGTCTAGCAAGGTTATACATGATTTACTCTCCAAATTTAGTTGCATCCGGGTTTTATCTCTGTCTTATTCTCAGCACATTGTGGAATTGCCTGATTCAATAGGAAACCTTAAACATATACGATATTTAGATTTATCAGAAACTCAAATAAGGAAATTACCTGATTCAATTTCCCAGCTTTATCATTTACAAACATTAAAGTTATGGCGTTATCGTTATTTCGAAAAGTTACCGATGGATTTGCATAAACTCATGAATTTAAGGCATCTTGATTTTCGTGAAACTGGGGTGAGAGAGATGCCGAAGCAGTTGGGTGAATTGAAAAATCTGTTGGTATTGTCATCATTTATTGTGGGCAAATGTGGAGAGACTGACATCAAACAAATACAAGAACTAAATCTTTGTGGATCAGTTTCCATTTTAGAGTTGCAAAATGTGATTTTTCCAGCTGATGCTTCAGGAGTCAATTTGAAAAGTAAGATCTACTTGGAGAAGTTATCGTTAGAGTGGAATGTGAACCATGAAAATTCACATGATAAGGATGTGCTAGAGAAGTTGCAACCTCATCAAAACTTAAGAAAACTTTCAATTAGAAATTATGGTGGCATCGAGTTTCCAAATTGGTTTACGGGTCTTTCATTTCCCAACATCGTGTCCCTAAAGCTGAGGAATTGTAACAATTGTTCATCCTTACCATTGGCAACCCTCCTTCCATCTCTCAATTCACTGTCAATTATAGGGTTTGCTAATCTAGTAGCGATTGGTCCTGAATTTTATGGAAATAACTTGAATACACCATCCTCAGAAATCTCCTGTGCTTTCCCGAATCTTCAAGAGTTGTCTGTAGAAGACTGTCCCAAACTGGAAGGGCACCTTCTTCCACGATTTCCTTCTTTGAGGACGCTGGCTATTGAAAATTGCGAGAAACTTGTGGCTTCACTTCAATGCGCTCCATCTCTTCATAAATTGGTTCTAGAACATTGTGCAAAGGTGCAGTTGGAACGTCTTCCATCAACTTTAAAAGTTCTCCACATTTCTGGATACTTCACAGAGATCTTATCAATTCAAAAGATTAAGAATACCATTGCCAATTCCAATCTTGAAAAGTTAAATTTTTCTGATTGTCCCCGCTTGGAGTTCCCATCTCGCTATTGTCATAACTTCATTATTAAAATTTGCATAATAGGAAGCTGCGACTCTCTTAAGTCTTTTCCACTGGATTTATTCCCCAAGCTTCAGACATTGAGGCTGTGGGACTGTAGTAATCTTGAAATGATATCTTTTTCAGAGGGACACCATGAGTTTCTTTTAAGGTTGGACATAGTAAAATGTCCTAAATTTGTGTCATTTCCCAGAGGAGGGTTTTCGGCCCCAAAACTACGACGCTTTTTCATTGACCATTTGGAGCATTTGAAATCACTACCTGAGCGTATGCACATTCTCTTTCCCTCGCTCACATATTTACGTGTAGAAAATTGCCCACAATTGGAATCATTTCCAGAGGGAGGTTTGCCATCGAATCTCCAGCTGTTTGGTGTCGAAGGATGCTCGAAACTCATAGGCACTCGAATTGGATGGGACTTGAATGGTCTTGCTTCTCTAGATGACTTGTCGATTGGAGATGCAAATGATGAATCTCTTCCTGATATAGGACTACTACCCCCTACTATTAATTCCCTTTGGATCTCTAACTGCCCAAATCTTAGAACATTGGAACACAAAGATCTTTGCCACTTGTCCTCTCTCCAACATTTGCATCTTTTTGACTGTCCTAAACTTCAATATTTGCCGAAGGAGGGCCTGCCCAGTTCCCTTATTCAACTAGGTATTAGGGGTTGTCCCTTGCTCAAAAAGAAGGTCCAAAAACAAAAGGGCAAATATTGGGCAATGATTTCTCACATCCCTTTAGTTAAAATTGACCGTGATGTAGTCAATTGGAGTGAGCTTCTGAATGACAAGCGCATCAATTTCATCCCTCGTAGTTTGTCATCAGCTATCTACTCCTTTTTTTCTTTTCTTGAATTTCGAATCATGGAAATTTTTGTTCTTTTTTTCTTCCAATGATTGATTTATAGATTTACTTGTTTGCTTGAAATTTTCATTTTTTATATATATATCGATATTGGCTGAAGCTGCACAAAATGAATATCCTTCATTCACTCAAACACCTCCTTTTTGGTTTGTCACACACTTCAAAATTCTAACCAGGCATCGGTTAGTCTCATATCAAGCGCTCGAGAAGAACTTCGTTTTAAAACTTCATGAAAAAAGAAATAATATCAGTTACCTATTATGTATATTATCTTGCTCCAATTCTTATTCTAGCTTCAATATTAATATTTATGAAATTCATCTTGTCATTAGGCAGTATGAATTTTCGTTAGCCAAGCTCATTTCAACTCAACTATTTGATAAAAAGAGTTGCCATGATTTGGTTAAACAATTTATATTAATGAATCAAATAATAAGAGTGACAACATTTGATTAATATTTCTTTGATCCTATTTATAAGTTATTTCCAACATGTTTTATTGAAAACAAGAGGACTCTTAAAATTCATTAATGTCATTTAAAAATTTAATAAATTCTCAACTTTGCTCCTATTTATACATAATTTTATAATATATTTTTTCTCTTCAACATTTAATGAAAGATAAAAAAGTTTTGAAAAAAAATTAATAATATAACTTATAAATAGGATAAAAAAAATATTCTCTCTAGTTTATTTATATCTGAGGAAGTGTACTGTTGAACAATAATTATTGGAGCTGAGGGAAGCTTCCTCTGCCTCTCTATTGAGGCAAGAGAAAATTTGGACCATCCAAATTTAATATTTAAATTTTTTAATTAATTTATTGCTCTATTTAGAATATATTTGTACTATTCAAAATATATTTAAAACAGTAATTTAAATTTTTAATATTAAATCTGGACTATTTATATTAAATTTAGACTGTAAGATTGATAAATATGTTTATTAAAATATTTTATAATTTTATATATTTTTTTAAAAGTATAAATTTAAAATAAAAATAAAAATATTAAATTTAAACTATTTAATTTTTTGTCTGCGACAGTGGAGAGGTGAAGGAGTCTCCATAATTATCAATATGCAGTAACTGATAAATATTCTTGACCGTGTTTCTTTTTCAAAAGCCTAAAACTTTCATATCAACTGTTCAAATATCATATCAAGTAGCACAGTGGCACTGATGTCAGAAACATGAGGCTTTGACGTACCCTGGGTGAACATAGCCTGACCTTCATAGGAGTGAGAACAATTGACTAAATACCGAACGCTAATCTTTGGTTGATGAAATTGGCCCAAAATCACTTGGTTTCCGTTGCTTTTGAATTTGACAGTTCAGACATTGAACTAAAGTGAGCATTTGACGATAGCATCAGCCACAAATTGTACAGTGTCACAAAGGTACACATATGAAATTATATTTCAGTGTTTCTTTTTTCTGTTTTCAAATCTTTTAGTCATGTATTTCATTTGTTTTTTTATTATTATTTTGGCAAATTTCATGTCAAAGTGATATGTCCAGCGTATAGACATGCTACTATGAGCGTGTCAAAGCACAAGCAAGATTTTAATTGCATATATCTGCATCCACGATCTTTCAAGCAATTGTATTTATATTAATGTGCTAGGGAAATATATGTATAACAGATAAATACGAATGCATGATATTTATCTTTTCCTTTAAAGATTATAATATCATTACGGTACCATAATGGAACTATGGTAACCTAGATTTTTTTTTTGGCATTATGAACAGAGACTTATTGGTCCTTCTTTCCTTTTACAGGCTCTCATATTGTCCACTGAACATAAGAGATTCTTCCTAATATATAGACTTCATGTTGTCCAATTGCTAAAGAAGGTCTTCTCTCTTTTCCTTCTACTCCTAACATCACTTTAAATAACAGTACCAAAATTGAAAATAGCAGCAATGGAAGATAACACATCCCTTGCTTATGATTTATGATGATGAGTCACCGGCTTTAAGGGTGTTTTTGAGAGTATGTATTGAAAGATAAGAGCAAAGAAAGTGACAGAAGAGGGAGAGATGGTTAAACCACACGTTCCCTTTTCCTTGTTTGGGAAAGATTTATCCTCCAAATTAAAACTTGACATCAAGTTTATTTGAAAATCCTTAATTAATTACCATCTCTTTCTTAGTTATAATTTCCAGACAAAAGAAAGGTTTCCATAAAATCTAAAGTCCAGTTGGTTAGTAGAAAATAAGACAATGGAATGGATTGAAAAAATAAAAATAAAAATCAGATGATTAAAATATAAAGGAAGATAGGTGAACCATATTCATAAGAGAGAAAGGTAATATTAGTTCATGAGGTTGGAAATCATAATTCATGAGATTTTTAAAGAGTGTAAAGATTCTCACATTTGTGATATATATATATATATATATATTAATTATTAAGTTTTATTATATTTATCATAAGGGAGAAGGGCGATTTAATTCATTTTTAGGTTGATTTTTTTCAATTCATTCTGTTCCCATCATTTCTAGCAACCAAATGGGACCTAAATTTCCTTCTCTTATCCTCCATTATCCCTGGACCAAGCTAACCCTAGAAGAGATATTCACCAAGTGTTATTTGTGCAGCAGGACATCAGGTACTTACTCTTATCTGACATCCCATTTTATTATCGGAATACTCCTTTCTATGGCTAGCAATGTTGGGAAAAGTATCCTGGTGCACTGCAACAGGTTGATTCATCAAAGCAATAAAAGGGAATCCCTCAACTAAGAGGTGACTTCTATTTTATCACCTGAACATCAATGATTGCATGTTTCTTCATACACTAGTCCATGACGGTTTTGTTTCAAACTGTGCCAAAGATGAGGCTCACAAAACCCCTGATTATATTTGTGTTGAGCTCAGCTTGGCAACTAAACTAATTTGCAATCTGCTTCTCAATTTCGAACAAATGGTTTAGTACTTATTTCTGCCAACTAATATGTTTTTTTTAATTAAATTTTGTTGAACCAAGCTTAGCAGCTCAACTACAATGCGTAGTTCTCTTCTCTTGTTATCTGAATACCCATGTTTATAAGTTTCTTAATAGATGAATTCATGAAATCATTCTGGCCAAAAAAAAAATCATAAAATCATGATTATATTTTTGTTGACCCAATCTTGGCAACTAAACTAATTTGCAATGTAGTTCCCACCTTTGGTTAAATGGTTTGATACTTATTCATGGTTTTGGTGATGCCAACCAATCTGTTTATTTTATTAAAGTTGTTTTCCAAAGCCTACTCGTCCTCTGTTACACTGTTTACATAAGCCAAATGCAAAAAGACAATGTCATTTTCTTGCCACCTTCTATTGTAACAAGTATTTCTTTTGTATTGGGTCCATATTACTTCATTCAAGAAACAACCTGAGAAGGGGCAAAATATGAGAAAGGCTTAATGCTATCTGAAGGAAATGAAAGTTCTGCTTCAAGTGAGTGAGATTCAAATGATATAAGTCAGTATTGAACACCATTAATGGAATATTGAACCCCATTAATGGTCTGAAAATATGGACATTGGGAGGTTGCTGGCAAAATTTGACGCTCTCCAATAAATTGATTGTCAAGAAGACAGAGTTGGTTTTCCTCCTTTGCAAATGAGAGCAAAGGAAAGATTACTGGAGTTCTGGACCATTAAATTGAATTTGGTTATTTAGATTTGATAATTTTAAAAGTATAAATTTAATTTGAACGATTTAGATTTATTGTGAATAAATAGTACAAAGAAAAAGTAGTGGAGAGAAACCTACTTCCAAGAAGACTGTGCTTTCGACACTAAAAAACTTATCTTCACATTCTATGTTTCGATATGTCTTGTAGTACACACTCTTTTAAAAGAAGTTGAGTTTTTGAGATGTGAGCATTAACTTCACTTCTTTCTTAAGTAAAAATATTCTTCAATAATAGTTAGAAACACAAGTGGATGTATATATCATGGCAATAGATTTTAAAAAACTTTCTCGTGAGCAGTATTTATAGTTTTGTACCAAGAAGCATGGTAGCTCAACTGATAAAGGGTTGTGTTAGCTTAACTAATAGTTTTGAGTTTGAGTTCTGAATATGTAGTTATGTTAAATACTTGTTGGGAGCACTTTGTCGCTAATGTAATTCTACTCAGCTCGGCTTATGAATAATGAATAATAATAAAAAAAATATGTATGGTCTTGTTTAAAAGTTGATTGTTGCCATCACCAATATGTTTAAGGTCCATCAATACTCTTAGCACTTGACCATGCAAGCGGCAACTGGTGGTGTATAAAGACTAGCCTTGATAGATCCAATTGCTTTGATTGTTTGCTGCAAACATTCAACAAAGCAGTAATTAATGGATAGATAAATTGTTAAATCGTTCCGCCTCAAGAAGATAATAAGAGGAGTATCATTTTGCTAAAATTGTTGGCCACTCATCATTATTGAAGCCTTTGAGGTCACGTTATCGTTCAACATTTAAATCATGGTTATTTGTCTTTAATTAGTGTATATCGGTGTATGAAATAATATTTAAGTTAAAACAAATCATGTTTTATAAAAAAACATTCATTTTTATGAGGATAATTTATAATTTATGATAAGTGACTAAGTTATAAAAAAAACACTACTTTTGGTCTCCATATTTTATGTTATAAGTTCATACACTTTTTTTAAAATATTCTAAGTTCTTATATTTTATTTATTTATAATATTAGTCCTTATAGTTTTAGAGGGATGTTAACATAACATAAAAGGAGTTAAAATTGTTAACGTGTATACTAATGCCATTAAGATTGTGCTGATGTATTAAATGTGCATTGAGTTAGACTTTTTAATAAGTAAAATAAATTTTAAAAAATAGCTACATCAGATAAAAAGAAGACTAATTAAAATATCCATAAAGTATCTCAAAAAATATTTAAAATATATTTTAATATTAATTTTTAAGTTTTAAGAGCCGCAATTTTTATTTAAAACAAAATCGAGTCTTGTATTTTTTTTATAGTATAAAAGTAAATAGTTGTTTACAATATGCTTCTTG